ACATCCCTATTTAAATGGCAGTTGGTTCCTCATTTCTTACTTGATGCACCCCTCCAGCCTGTCTTTACCTGAGGTTGCAGACTTCCTGGGTCATCCTTGAAGTCCTCTGGAAGCACGTGCTCTTCCATGCCAGTCATCTTGCTGCTGCTCCTCTGCTTATCACTTCCTTAAGAGCCAGCAACTTGGTCTCCTACAGGTCAGTGAAGTCTCTCCCAACCATACCAGCTCCAGTTACTCAGGAAGCATTCCAGGTCCTGCTGGGATGGAAACCTTTCACCTTGCATTGTCTTCTCAGCCAAGTATTTCAGACCCTACATTTCCACCATGTGCTCTGGTCTCATCCAGCTTAGGAGTCCTTGTTTTCAGCTTCTTTCCCAGAAGACTATATTTTGCCTCTGGATCTTGTCTCCTCCTTGTCTGTTTGGTTTCCACACAGACCACAGCTCTAGGTTTCCCCCCAGTTTTATGTTATTTTTAGACCTTTAAGCAAGGGTGAGGTCTCTTTGGTTGCAGTTCTGCTTTATGAATAACTGATAGAACCAGTGTGATCCAATAACAATCCTCTCCTGGTTTAGTGCGCCCTTAGGAGCAGCCACAAAGTTTGCATTCATTCTTTCTGCTCAAGTGCTTTTGATAAATAGATCAAAAGCTCACAACACACATGGGATAATGCAGAAGGTTATTAAGTGACTGAAGTCTGTAGTGTTGCTTAATGAAAATTTGTTATGTTTTATAGAGGAGAGGCAATGTCAAACCCTTCTGCTCAGATTTGCAGCTGGTGAGACTGCTGGAAGCTATGGAAGGAGCTGAACAGAAGTGCTCACTCCAATAAGCCAGGGAAAACTGAGGTCAAATGTTATCTTAAGGATTGGATCTGCCTAAATGAATCCATGTGTTTGTCCTCTTTACATGTTGCCGTGACCTAGCAGAATAGCTTAATGTAGGTAATTACAGAGGGCAAACAGTAATGAATCATGGAATGGTTTGGGTTGGAAGGGACCTTAAAGCTCCTCCAGCCCCTACCCCTGCCCCGGGCAGGGACCCCTTCCACTAGAGCAGGTTGCTCCAAGCCCGTGTCCAACCTGGCCTTGAACACTGCCAGGGATGGGGCAGCCACAGCTTCTCTGGGCACCCTGTGCCAGCGCCTCAGCACCCTCACAGGGAACAGCTTCTGCCTCAGAGCTCATCTCAATCTCCCCTCTGGCAGTTTCAAGCCATTCCCCTTGTCCTGTCCCTCCATCCCTTGTCCAAAGCCCCTCTCCAGGTCTCCTGGAGCCCCTTTAGGCCCTGGAGCTGCTCTAAGGTGTCCCCTTGAGGAGCCTTCTCTTCTCCAGCTGCCCCAGCCCAGCTCTCTCAGCCTGGCTCCAGAGCAGAGCTGCTCCAGCCCTCGCAGCAGCTCCGGGGCCTCCTCTGGCCTCGCTCCAGCAGCTCCACGTCCCTCTTACGTTCTGGTCTCCAGAGATCATAAAGCCACCTTTCCCTTGCTTGCCTCTACCACTGGAAATCATCTCTTTTACAATCCTTTGAATCATACCCCCAGCTCTCTGACAATAAGAGGATGAAGAAGAATAAAGGCTATAGTCAATTTCGATGAAAAGGAGCTTAGTTGAACAAAGTAACAAGCTAAACTGATTTTTGCCTCATTTTCAATTAAATCCTCTGATAGGATGTTCACATAAGTTGGTATTATCACCTCTCTCATGAGGGCAGTGTAATCTAAAGGCATAAAAATCTCCCATTCAGTATCACTTTGGTTTGATTCCTCATGTCTTGTGACTTTAAAACAGTCTGTACCAAACAAAAGTGTCTTCCTTCCTTGACACAAATCAAACCACTTCACCTTCTGAAATACCTGATAACACCATCCATCCCTTCTTCTGCACGGGTCGGAGGCTTCTCACCTACCTGAAAAGTATTCCTTGTCTTTCTGTTCTCTTACCCTTTTCCTCCTGCCTAACCTTGAATTTCTCCTTCCTAAACAACTTTTTGAATCATAGAATCACACAGGTTTGGGTTGGAAAGGACCTTGAGGATCATCCACTTCCAATCCCCCTGCAGTGAGCAGGGACACCTTCCATTAGACCAGGTTCCTCAAAGCCAGTCTTCTCCCAGGTAATAAGCAACAGGGTAAGAGGAAGCGGCCTCAAGCTGCCCCAGGGCAGGTTTAGCTGGAGCTGAGGAACAATTCCTTGCCCAGAGGGTGCTCAGGCATTGGAACAGGCTGCCCAGGGCAGGGCTGGAGTCACCGGCCCTGCAAGTGTTCCCAGCCCGTGGAGCCGAGGCCTCAGTGCCAGGGGTTAGTGGTGGCCTTGGCACTGCTGGGGAGCGGCTGGACTGGATGAGTTTAAAAGCCTTTTCCAACCTAAATGCTTCTGTGATCAATGCACTGGGGAGTGCACTAATGGAAATTACAGAAAGATTTGGAATGATTTCAGTAAATAAATGCTGGGATGGCTGTCTTCAGAGTTTCAGATGGGTTCTGTTCAATCTGGAGACTCTAGGAAGACTGCTTCATCTTGCTTTAGTTGGCATTTATTGAAGGGGAGAATAATAAAACGCAAAATAAAAGCTGGCGTAAGATCAAACAGTATCAGAAATGTGATTTGAAACCTAAGTTGGATGTTTTGCAGACAAAATTTTGGGACAGAAATTGCTGCTCTAAAATACTTGATGGCATTGAGATTGCATCCCAGATTACAAAGAACAAGCCTAAATGGCCCACTGGATCACACGTAACCTTCCATCTTTGCTTCCTATAATGCATGTTTAGAAATTAGGTGGCTTCCGTCCCATTCCAGCTTGTTATTCCTCATCTTTCATACAGTGTTTTGGGTTTAGGCATCATAAATGTCTTCCCTTGCAGTAGAATTGTCTTTGGTGTTCAGTGTCACTCTGCTTGTCCTCAGGCCACGTGGGTTGTGAGCTTTGATTTGCTTTCAGTGTTGGCTTTCCACAGCATGGGACCACACAAAGCTCATAAGGAGAGAGCTGGGCTCGTTGGGTCTTTCTTGTTTTGTATGAAACAAGATCCCAGGCTGATAAATGTAATATAAGGTTATCCTATAACTAAATATCATCTTATCCACAGAGGTAGCCCTGAGTCTGTGTCATGACTTGTTCTCTTGTTCTCTGTTCCAGAGTCGACAACTGGAATCGGAAACTGGAACGACTGAAGAGCACAGCCTCAACAAGGAGGCTCGGAAATGGGCAACCCGGGTGGCCCGGGAGCACAAAAACATCATCCACAGTCAGCGGGTAGGTTGGCAGAACATTCCTTCTCCTATTTGATGTCTTGCAGCTCCCCTGCATGGAGGAGGAGCTGCTGCAAGCACAAAGGAGTTCATTTTGCCTGTTATCGCTGCCATTTTCATCGTAGGCTTTGATAGGATACACTCAAACTGCCAGGTCAGCAGCTCCTCAAACGTTTTGGTGCATAAGATCATAGAATGGATTGGGTTGGAAGGGATTTAAAGCTCATCTAGTTCCTACCCCCTGCCCCAGGCAAGGACACCTCACACTAGAGCACGTTGCTCCAAGCCCCTGTGTGCAACCTGGCCTTGAACACTGCCAGGGATGGGGCAGCCACAGCTTCTCTGGGCACCCTGTGCCAGCGCCTCAGCACCCTCACAGGGAAGAGCTTCTGCCTTAGATCCAACCTGAACTTCCCCTGTTTCAGTCTGAACCCATCACCCCTTGTCCTATCACTCCAGTCCCTGATGAAAGTCCCTCCCCAGCATCCTTGTAGCCCCCTTCAGACACTGAAGCTGCTCTGAGGTCTCCAGCAGCTTCTCTTCTCCAGGCTCAACAGCCCCAGTTTTCTTAGTTCATCAGTATGTTTTACTGTCCCATATAAACCTGTAACTACAGCTTCTGCTTCACTGCAAGTAACTTAGAGAACAACATTTGTTCTACACAGCACCCTTCTGGTTGGAACTAAAGTTTCAGGGATTCTCTTATCTGTCTCCACTGTATCATGTATATATTACCTGGAGAAAAAAATTGGATATCAAAAGTCTCCTAAACACTAGGAAAATCCACAAATAATGTGCACTTTAATTTGAAGACACAAAATTGAGTGTGTATTGATACATTTATTTCTACCTATGTGGCTCAACATGGAAAAACCTAGGGCTGTATTTGGACCTCTTAACTGGAGCTTCAGGTAGCTGTGCTTTGGACCTAGACTAGATGGCACAGTGCCCTGTACAGCCTAATCTTGACAGTATCCAGTGCTGGGGAGTCACCACTTCCCTGGGGAGATTATTCCAATGGCTGCTTGTTCTCAGTGGAAAAATTTTCCTCTTGTGTCCAATGGGAATCTCCCCAGGAGTAACTTGTGCCCATCACCCCTCGTCTGTTCCATGGGACTCCTTGTCCAAAGGGAGTCTCCATCTTCTTTGTAGCCACCCTGTAAATACTGGAGCATCTCTAGCAAGGCTCTCATGCTCATGCGGGTACCCAGCCTCACTTCTTGTGCTAATTTAAGCCTAAAGCCATCTGTTTCATGTGCTGAGGTCAAGCCCAACTTGCACAGACTAAATTCAGTTAAAGAGGATGTGCCCATACTACAGTATCTATAATATTGTCTAATTCTCAGTGAGCTGCTCCCTAAGAAGTGGAGGATCTGGCTCCTAGTTCCACTTTAGAGCTATAAGCCATTCCTCAAACCACCTCAAACCAGAGTAAGAAGCAGGACCTACCTGGGTCACTCTATAGAAGAAAACAGCAGTTTTAGCTCCAGGCAGAGGGTATTAACAGAGGCTGTAACGAAAATATGTTGGGAAAAACTCTCCAAGGAAGAAGGGAGCATCCTGCATTCTGGTCC